AAGGAAGCAAACACTAAGTGAAGTAAACCCCAAAGTGTAGACTTGTGAAAAAACTCTTAATCTTCAAGTCTTGGTTTTGTATCTGTAAGTGTTTACCAAATCTTCTTAATAATTTATTTTTTGTTAATCTCCCTTTATTTACGTAAGAGAGTCATTGGGTGAAAAACCTTGTTAAACCTGTAAAACCTTCTTAGAAATTAGGACTAAGTTCTGAGAAAGATTGTACGAAGGGAAAAGTTGTTGAAGTTGAATAATATTGATAAAGTTATTATTTATTGTCTCTATATTCAAAAGCTAGAAGCAAATGTTTGAATTTAAACTTAACTCTAAAGCAAGCGGTTTAAAGAGTCAATTAGACACAAATTATTACCAAATCATTATAAAATCCTATATTTGATTTTCTGTCTTCCCTACTCTTTTAAATTCTATAATTTAGATTAATTTTTTGTGCTTACGTCTTTGTGCTCATTGTTTTAAACATAGAAATTGCATAAGTTTTCAAGAACCCAATTCACCCTTCCTCTTAGGTTGTTGCCATCTTTTGGGCTAACACTATTTAAATAGAAGATAAATTAGTTGGGGCAAAAAAAATTAAGTAGAAGCCTCATCCCCAATCATGCCTTCAATAGCCGAAATAAAGCAAGATAACTGATCTGATTCTAACTAACATCACATTTAAGTTGTTGTCCTTCTTTGACAATAGTAAATCCTAATAAAAAAATATCAACAAAGTCAAGGCACAAACTTAAAAAAATGCAATAAATCTAGTTTAACATACCATATATTTGAAAGTTTCAAAATTTTGGCAAATAAACCAAAATTTATGGGCAATTTTGGTTAAAGTTCTATGGAAGTTTTTGTTAAAAAAGTAGTTTAAAAATATTATACGGAAAGTATTATATAAAGAGGTGTTAAGTTTTGTAATAAAATTTAATTAGGTTATTAACTTTATTATATTTTATAAGCAATATAAAATAGGTCTAATATAAAAGAAAGTTAAAAAAAAAACTTTTTTATGTCAAAATAAATAAGAAAAAAAAAACTTTAGTGTAAAAAAAAAATTAAAATATTACTTTTATTCTTATTTTATGAAAATATTAATATCTCTAAATATATAAATAACTTCCTAATTAAAAAATAAAGGTTAGGGGTAGAGATCTATTAATCAAAGATGGCAAAACCCCTTCTTAAGCCCCTCAACTTTTCCAACAATAAGTGATGAGCCCCCTTAACTAAAAAAAGAGCAACTAAGCCCTTTAACCAGACGACTGAAGCAAATCTGTCCCTCTGCTAATAGAACTCTGTGATGACATTTGTTGAATAGCTTGTATGGCATTGGCTTTACACGTTGCATCCAACATCTCTAAATGGTCTATGGGCAGCATTATATCCCGCTTAAAGGAAGAACACCTTGAGATAACAATTAAAGAAAAAGAAAAAGGTGTATATATTGAGATATTGAGAGGGTATTCAAGGTTTTAGGATTTCAGAATCATGAAGGAGATTCTCCACCAAAAATCTCTTTCTAATCTCTTTAGAAATAGAAATTAACATGGGGTTTTGTTAATCTCTTTCTCAATCGTCAATGCCTCAATCTCGAACTTCACAATCACAAGCCTAATTTATTGCCTCTACACAAAAAAAACTTTACATCCAAAAACTCTAAAACCTCATGTGGAAGTGATTTGTTATTGGTATGAA